ACACACATACACACACACACACACACACACACACACACCAACAAGGCAATCTATTTTCGCTACATCATTAAAAATTCGCCAAAAGCAAATAGCATAAGTGAATATCATTTTAAAGTATTTTCTTCTTGAAATCGATAATGAAAATTAAAATTGTATTTGTCATTTTAAATTAAAATATCAAACCATAATGTAATTTAAATTTTTGCAAACACAAATAACAAGAAATTTAACTTAGGTTTTGCATTATCTATACAATTTTATTTTTCAGAGATATCTAAAATGTATACGAATAGAACGAAAGAATTATTCGCAGGTTTAATTGAACGTCCACCTCTTACCGATCAATTACTACAACGACCACCATTTCGTTTTTTACACGATATTGTTAAAATGACAATGCAAAATACAGGATTTTTAATGGTTTGGTTTTGGAAAACAAATTTATAAATTGGTATTTTATCATATCAAATTAAGCCACTTTCTTTTAGCATTATGAAGGAACAGTATCAACTACCGTTTGGTAAGGAAAATTGCCTTACCGTTTGGTAAGGCAATTTTAGATAGTGGACTTCATTTCACATTTAATGCTTTAATGTTTTAATAATATGAATAAAGGAATTTCATTGTACTGTCGTAAAAGATAGTGAATTCATCAGCAGAACAGCTAACATCAAGAAATGGGGAATGTAAATCAGTCAAATAATTATGTCACCTACCAAACCGCTGGTCAAATTAAAAAGAATCGAAAAGAGGATAATAGAATATTTCGAGACTTGCCGTTGTTAAATACAGATTTTATTGATCTAGAAAAATTATTCCAAATTTATTCTGATGCCAATAACATAACCTATTGTTTTTTTTTGAGACATCAGTTCTATTATTCCTAATAGCTAAAGTCAAATACTGATGCCAGTAATATGACCTATAACTTACTATTTTTAAGATGCAATTTATGAAATCATATTGGATACCTATTTAAACCTAACAATTTTGAGGTACAAAAAAAATTTGTGGTCAGGATAATAATTGAAACATTTTCTCAATTGATAATTATTTCATTTTAGTTGCTATCAAACTCAGTGAATATTTAACTAATTTTTGAGAATTAATTTAAATGTGGTATTTGTGCAGGATAACTTTACAAATGAGGAAATGGACGCATCGAATATAACAGATAAAACAGCAAAAGCGAATTTTTTGAAGACATTGATCAAAGCATTGAACAGTGATGGATCGTTGAAAGATGTGAAAGCTGCTAAAATAATTGCTGGGAAAGAACCTGAAATGACGAATTTGGTATGGTAATAATAGTGATTTCGAATTATTTGCGAAGTGATAATTGATAGCTAATAATGTAGATCAGATTTGTTCATAAGTTGGAGAAGGTTGTTAGCTTTGATATCCGATACACGGTAGCATATGAATTCTAATGATTAATCAGCTAATATAATTATTATTCGTTGATATAAGGAATTCATTACTTCGGACGATTTAAAAAAAATATCATCCCTTTCTCAATTTGAAATTTTCTGAAATTGCAGAAGAAATATTTGAAATGTTTTAGATGTTGCAAAAATTAGCAATTGATGCAGCAGCATTCCGTGATTCGAAGTTCAAATGTACTGCAAATGAAGAAAAACAAAAGAGGGAGAAAAAGGCGCATAAAAAGGAACGTAACAATAAAGGAGTGGAAAGAAAAAATAATGATAATGAAAACGAGAAGATTCTAAATGTTATATGTTCATTTTGAAATAATTGAGTTAATTAAAATTTCAAAATCATAGAATTCTTAAATTATTGTGATAACATTTCGTAGAAAAAATTACTTGTAGAAATAAAATTATTATGACTAAATTTGAAGGAGAACAAAAAAATGGGATTTTCTAGGTTGAAAAAGAGAAGCGACATTCAAGTAGAAGTAAGGAAAAGAGAAAGAAAGAAGGTGAAAGTAAACCGAAAATAATTAAGCAAACAGTTGATTGTAATGAAGGACGAGATTCCGTTAATGAAGGACATTTGGGAAATATTACACCAGAAACATCATCAATGAAAATGGAGCAGGTGATTCACACTGATCAAGAATCATACGGTTTGAAATTCATAAGTTTAATTATCTCATTTTCAGTACTTTTTTATAATTTTACCATTGTTTATGAGAATAGCAGTTGGATAAGAATGAAATTACCAAAAACATAGAATGTTCGAATTATGAGATACTAAAAAATGAATACATACCTATTTCTTATCAGTGCACTTCAAACTTCATATTTCTATATTCCACTCATTCGTATCGCAACAAAATCGGATTTTATAAAATTCCATTTGCTTTATTTCTTGGAAACTTCCTTGCAAAAACAAATGTCATATCATTTTAGTTTCATTATAATATATTTTCAGTAACTACAAAGGTGGAAGGCAATGGTATTGTTAATAATATAACAAATGAAATTGATCAACCTTCAATATCACAAGCATTAAAGGAACAGCTGCGGTTGTTCATCATCATCTTTTTCATTTATTCTAATTACAATTTGATATAACTTTTAAAAAATCCCTAAAATTTATATTTGTTATATCGAAGACACATAAAAAGCTTATTTTCAGACTTTCAACATCCTCTGGACGGCCACGTACTTCAGCTGGTAGATTGGGTACTGCAGCAGCTCGACCGGCTCCGCCAAAAATCAAGAAGAAACGAGTGAAGGAAATTGAGCGAAAAGCAGACATTGTTTGTTCTTTTTCAAACGTAGTGAAACGAAATTTGCAATTATTCAATTTTTCGCTTAATAAATGAAACAATTGAATCTCACGCAAATCAATTATTTCTTTAACTTTGTAGAATGCAAAAACAAGTGGAGTGATTGTTGGTGAACGACAAGAAAATGATGAATATTTTGTAACAGAAATTGAGCCATCACATGACGAAACTGATCAAATTAATGCTGATGAGGTATATTTCTTTATAAACTATAAAAAAAATCCGCATAAGCATTTACCGAATTAATTCTGAATTTAAATTAAAAAAATATTGGTAACATTTGCTGATATTGCTGCAGCTGTGAATTAAATATGATCATTAGATGAATCATTTCGAAGAAATCTCTGATGCTAAAAATTTAGTGATCTCAGTTAATTTAAATTAACCTATCAATGCTCAGGACTTTCCATCCAATTTTTTGCAACCCTCACTTTTATATTGTGATTAATGTCCGAGTCTTGCTTATCTCATTTTATTTCAATCTAAATAAAATTAACATTACCATTGATACCTGTAGGAATGACTCTTCCTAAACGTTTTGAAATGCATGACCAATTTCAGCTAATTACCGAAGAGCACGGCGGTTTGGTGCGAAAAATTCTTGAAACAAAAAAAGGGCTAGAAGATAAAATAAGCAAGGAAGCTTATAATGCGTCTATCAGTGTGTTTGATGAAAAAGACCAAGCAAGGTCACAGCAAGAGGTTTCATATCACTCTTTCTCTCTTAATTTTTTTGTCAAATTCTCTGTTCTTTTGAAATTCAATTTTCTTCTTACCAATAATATGCTTGCTTATTGTGAACTTAGTTAAATTAGAGAATTAAGCATTTTATTAGCAAAAATTTGAAATTAATCTTATTTCTTTTTGGAGAAAGTCTTATTTTGCTTTTCATTGTCTCTTTTTTTTTAGTTAGCTAATTTACAAAAGACAATACAACAAATAACACAAACAACACATTTATTGGCTCGCTTTCTCGACAATACACAGGTCATCGTTACTTATTCCATAAATATATTATCAAAAAAGTTATTGTGACGAGGTAGATAATAGTTATTGTTATGGTTAATATTTAAAGTGATGTTTGCTTGTTAAATTGAAATTCAAGGCAAATTTTATCGATTGGTACTGTAAATAGAAGTTGAGAGTAAATGATAACAGTAAAAAATAGGAAAGTATGTCAGGTAATATCCATTATATTGTATGCATTTCATTTGTATTCCTGTTTACTCCGCATTACTTTACAGGAAGATGCCGAAAGTATGTTTAAAGAAATGGAAGAATGGCGTTTAGAAAGTGCAAAAAATTTACATAACTTGCAAGAACGAAAAGCGAATGCAGAAGGATCATCGGAGAATTTATTGCTAAAGCTGAATCAATTAGATGAACAAATCAAAGAAGTTAAAAGCGCTATTGTTCAAACCAAAGCTAAAGTGATAACAAATGAAGAGAAAATTCGAATTTTAGTTAATAATATTTAATTTTTCAATAAATTTTCCAACATTTTAATTGTCTATAACATTCATTTCTTGCCAAAATTTTATAATAATTTCCAATTATCTAAAATGCCAGAATTACAAGTAAATATTCAGAAAGCCTTCAACATTTCGACTTTCAAATCCTATGAAAGAACTTGAAAATTATTTCCAGTTGCATAACAAAGGTCTATAGAAAACTTACTGACGCGCTCCTATTGGAGGAAGCCGCGCAGCTAAAAACAGTTCTATCAGAATCGTCACTTTCATATGTTTCGGTATCAGCAGCTGATAGCCCTCCTTATGTTCCATCCGTTGCTGACACACTGATTACTTGCCGTTCATTCGTTTTTGCAGCTCGAGCGGCTGCTTGCTACAAGAAATCTTCGAAATATGAATCCTATTTGGAAATCAAATAAAACAAAAAATAGATATCTAAATGATACCTTTTTTAACTTGGTTTGAATTCTGCGAATTCGATTACATTCATGATGCTGCAATCGTTTTGCCAGGACTTTGCAAAATACAACTTTGGTTGTTCTAGTAGCTTCGATTCACACTTGCGATGGATGCTCGAGAATAAATAACCGCAAAAATACTCGTACACTGCAATAACAATAACTGTCAATTAATTTAATTGAATAAATGAATTGGTCCATTTTTAAACAAAATAAATATATTGGAAAATTTTTTACATTTTAATTTGGACAAGTGATATTTGCAAACAATGATGATATAAGAAAGATAAGTTAAAAATGATTGAGAACTATGCTATTTTTATATCCATCAAATCCTTGGACAGTAAAATGTAATTGTGCACAAAGATAATTTGTCAATAAATTTACCAATTGGCTCCCTCTTTCAAAACTAACCAATTGACGCATTAACGTTTTATGCTTTCCATACTAAATCTTTTTGTATTTCTGTACTGAAAAAAAATAGCATTTCAATTTTATTAAATTTGGAATAACTCTATATTTGAAGTGTTTTAAACAGTCTGCAATCAGATTTAAAACTTAAAATTTTAGTAGCAAATTTGAATGTACGAATTATTTCACACTATAGAATTCTGTGGGCGCATTACTACCATTTACCTGCTTCAATTACTTTAGTGCTACAATGAAAAGACGTTCTTTTTTTGCAAACGTGTCACATTAAAGTCGCTTTTAAACTTGTTCACTAAATTCAAACACACCATTTTCAAATGTTATTTAACAGTTTTACACGCAAAATGATATTAAAGTTGATCTGGAAGTATTAACAGCAGATTTCATCACTTTTCATACTTATTTTGTGAAAACATTTTTTCAATTCTAAAGTCTAAAGTATGCTAAATAATCTACAATCAGATTTAAAATTTTAAAAATCAAAATGAACAATATTCATTTTTTCTCGCAAAAGCGAAAGAGTTAAATAATTATAGGTGGATCACTTCTACGGAGTAGTATCTGAAACTTTATATTTAATGCATTATCATAAACTCGAATAAGATAAATGTATGAAACCTTCAAAAAAAAAGAAAAAGACAAAATTTATGTTTAATCAAGATTTTAAAACTTTTTATATTTCTGCAACTCTGAAATTCTTCTCTATTACAAATTTAATTTTATGAAATTACTCAAATACTTCTAAAATCTTTAATTGAAAAGAAATACATAATCTTCTAACTACTGTGTTATACGGTTTTATCACTTCTGAAAGTTTTTCAAATAACTATACTGATATATGTTTTTTTTTAGATATTAAATTATAATACATGAATGATTACATCTGATAGTATTGGTTAATTTTATAAGAAAAATGATAACAGATAAGTAATCTAATCGTTATTGTTTTACTTGATGGAAACATTTAAATGGCACTTAGCAAGAAGTGAGTAACCATTTTTGGAAGTGTTCAGTGTCTGGACGAATAGTTTATCCACCCAGGACGCCCCATCAAATGGACTCACTGACTGACTGGCTGTACTACTCGAAACAGACTCCAATCTGCTCTTTCATACTTTCACAGCCTCACTTCCACTGTCACGTTCTCCTAAAAGTATGAATGAGGAGAAGTTTCTCGATTAATCAAATTTATCATCATCCCGCGAATATTTATTTTTATATCAAATTATGCAACAAATATAGGATTACATTATAAAGTTCAGATTTTTGGGACTTTTAAATTCTTAATTCTTTTTATTTATATACCAGTAATCAATTTAAATATAAGTATATCCTGAGAAGATTCATATTTTCTTTTTTTCTTTTTTTCACATAATATTTCCACTGTAGGTTGTTTAGGAAATTTTCAAATATTTATCCTAAAAATTTCTAACAATTTGTTAGATTTCTCATGGATATATCAAAATGTGTAAATTGTTTGAACATTGCAAATATCTTCGAATTTTTTTCTTTTCTATTCCTTTCCTTTTTTTTTTGATTAGGATAGATTAATAGAGTAATTAAATAAGCAAAAATGTGTAAACAAAAATGCACGTAATATTCTATCACTTGTCTTGTAGTTTGTTGCTTATTCCTGCATTTTCATTATGGTTTCATGTAATGTACGTGCAAAAATGTAAAATGTATATATTAAAAATGTTAAAGAATTGTATAAAATATGCAAAAATGTATGAAATATGTAAAAATATAAAGATGCAAACATTTGTACAAAATCTAGAAAAATTATCACATATTTATATATTGATTTTTTTTCTTTCATTTATGTAAATTTTTATCCTGTTAGGATGGCGTTTATAAAGCAGTATGATTGGATGAAATGATCTCATTGTTGCTTCTTGTCGTGCTCGCTTCCGGTACCATGCGCTGTGGAGGTGATTTCAGGGTAGGGAGGTTTCGCGCTTCTCTACCCTCTTCTTCCCTTTTAACTCTTTCTTTCCCTCCTATTTTTGGTGGTTAGATAGTTTTTGCGCGATTACTAAACGATTATTTCATATATATAAGAAGTGATTTCAAATGAACTTTTTCGAATTCATTTAACTTATTTGTATTCAATCTTTAGATCATGATCCGAGGGAGAAATTGGGAGGTCATGAGATATTTAGAGGCATCCATAATTTTCTTTTTTTTCCATTCACTTTTTTTCTATTGTTCTAAGTTATTTGATTGTTGTCTACAAAGTTGATTCGTTTTGTTGTTTATATATTGATTTTTTTTCTTTCATTTATGTAAATTTTTATCCTGTTAGGATGGCGTTTATAAAGCAGTATGGTTGGATGATTAAAATGAGATATTAGGATGAGATAGTTAGCAATATATGTTGTAGAATTTTCGCATTATGATAGCGTTTTGCTCATGTTAAAAGTATAAAAATAATGCGATGTTCTATTGTATCAAATCATGATTTCATATCACGATTTGTAACTGATATTATATCAAATGCTGTTAACATTGTTTATTTCAGTTCTGTATTTCTTCTCAGTATAATTGTTAATAGTGTGTGATACACAATGCATTGGTATGATAGAGTATACGATCCATGCAGACATTCCAACGGATATTCCACACCTGATGCATACTATGGACCCGGTCAAGTTATTACGAAAGGGAGTGAGCAACAACATAAAACGTTTTCTTATGCGTAAGTTATCATCAAATGATAACTATGTTCAAAGTAAAAATCTTTCAATTTTGTTTCCAAAATTATATTTTGCATACACGTATATCAAACATCCGTTAAAAAACGTCGTAAAATATGGTAACATTATGATGAATTGTATTTTGACAAAAAATTTTCATAATTATTGTTAAACATGTAAAAGGTAGATAACATGAAAATGTTACATGTATGCAAATGTGTGAGCAAAATAATGGCAACTCCATTGGACATGAATAGCAAGAAGCAATACAAACTACGAAGGAAAAAAATAAATGAAACAAGAACAAGCTAAATTAAAAGATTTATATCTTCCACCTTTTTCTATTACCTCCATTTTTCTCCTTTTTCTCCCTCCTCCTCCATATCCATTCGTCAAACCTTTTCATTTAATTAAATTGCTATACACGTTTTCTCTAACAGATACAAAATCATGCTATTTAACATTCGATCTTCTATCAAATAGAACGACCGTTCATCCAGAAATTCTAGTGTGTTTGGAAATCGAAAGAAAAATTGATTCTGTTCATTTTTCAGTTAAAAAAACAGACTACTTTTTCTCTGAAACTTTAATAGAAGGCATATCCATCTTTTTTGTGCGGTTTTCTTGCAAAACATCCGAAAGCAATTTATTGTGTTTTGCAAATAGTGAAGATAGTTAGTTGAATTGAATTGAAGATTCAAGCAAGCTATCGCTATCGTGATAACAATCAGTCTTTTACGGTTTCATATTCTACAAAAACTGTAGTAATCATCAACATCATAGAAATTTCATCTTTACTGGGGCATTCTGGTAATCTTAGATTCCACTTAATAATGAAAGAAGGCTAATAATCACAAAGGGTGAATGTACTACTTTTTTTGATACACATTAAATCTTAGGCCATACGTTTACTAAAAATGTCCACGCCGTTTTTCTTACAAACAAAAAACTGCTCTCTTTCAGATTTAGAAATTCTGCAAAATCAGTGTAAATAAACTTATTTTAATTCAAACATGAAATGTGTATATGGATATAACTGAAAAGCAATAAACATTTTAGTGATTATCGTTCGGGAAGGGAAGTTCGATTATATGGTATTGTAAACCGACTTATTCCGGGTACAGACGCTGATTCTCTAATAAGTCAGATTGTTAACGATTTACTACCTTTCGATCGTACAACGGACCACATATTGAACAAAGATCCATCTGATCGAGATGTTTGTCAATACTATCTTTCTCGCACTTGACTATTTTTACTATTTAACCGCAATTTGAAAAATACAATAATTACCGTTCATATCATTAATTTAGTAATATTACTTATCATTTGATGAAGGATTCTGTCGATTGGAATGATTAGATTGAAGTTATGCTAGGGAATTATTTTATGCTTTACACCTACAGTAAGACAGAAATAGGCGAAGAAATCGAAACTTCACATAAATGGAAATTGTAGAAATGAAATATGTCTAATTGCAAAGACGAGCTATATTCCTCATTTTGTATTTATTTTCAAAATCTGAAACGATTAAAAGTGATAATTGTTTAGGGTGTTTATTACGGAGTTATAGAAAAGTTCGGATTTTTTGTCTATATCAGCGATCATATGTTTTAGATATACTGTTTGCTGGATGAAGTGTTGCGCAAGGTTCATAGAATTAGCATAAATGGCAATGCTGAAGTCAGAAGTTCACTTATTGAAAATGAATTACGTGAATCAGTTGAAGCGGAGATGAACAATTTACGAGATGGAAATTGTGTAAATCCAACCAATGATGTAAATCTAGCAAGCTTCACACCAATGAATCTACCAAATAGTGAAACGGTAGTAGAGAAATTGAATGTGATGGAGTTTCTCAATTTCTACAAGGATATCATTGAACGAGTCGATCAGGCAGCGAATGAGGATGAACAAAAGCAAAAGAATTCAGCTCCAACCAATCAAGTTAATCTATCCGCTCCTCCATTTAATCAATATGACGAATGCATGCCACAAGAATCACAATTTCAGTACCCTAATCAATATCCTAATCAGTGCCCCAATCAATATCCTAATCAATACCCCAATCAACATCCTAATCAATACCCCAACCAATATCCGAGTCAATACCCCAATCAATATCCAAATCAATACCCCAGTCAGTACCCCAATCAATATCCTAATCAATCCCCCAATCAATATCCTAATCAATCCCCCAATCAGTACCCCGATCAATATCCCGATCAATACCCCAATGAATATCCCAGTCAACATTCCGAGCAATATCCCAATCAATACCCCGATCAATGCCTCAATCAATACCCTGATCAATACCCCGATCAACACCCCAATCAATACCCCAATCAGTACCCCAATCAATACCCCAATCAATACCCCAATCAGTATCCCAATCAATACCCTAATCAATATCCTAATGAATATCCTAATCAATACCATAATCAGTATCCTAATCAACATCTTAATCAATACCCTAATCAGCAATCCGCTCCACATCTTGATCAATATCCCATGGAAAACTCTTATCCTTTTCTTGAACCAGCTTCATATGACAATAATGACAATCACCTGTATGGATCTTCTCAATCAATGAATTCAAAAAAAGGAGGTGGTTTCGGTATTAGGAAATACGTGCCTGGCGGTGCAGCTTTACCGCCTATTCCGGAATCAGTTGAAGGAACTGAAAAACGATGGAATGGGAAAGATGAATATCAGAGGAATGGTTATAGACGATGGAATTGCAACATACCCAATAATCATTTTGTGACATCACCTATTGTGGAAGTTGATCACAGCAGCAATAACAATGAATTCCATCCAATTGGAAAAGCAGAAGCTTTTGATCCAGACTATACAGAGAATAATGATTACAATGAATGCGGTGAAGTAAGAAACACGGGAAATGATGATAAGATTAACATGTTTTATTCTTCAAGTTATGGCGAAAAACTTTATACCAATTCGTCAGCTGCACTCGTCTTTGTTTATGGCAACAAAATGTTCATTGGTAGTATCGGCGATTCACGGTAATCCTTGTATTTTTATTTTTAATGCAAATTTATAAAAATAATTTAAAATGCAATTAATTGTCTAGTTTTATAATTTACTTTTCACTTTTTATTCATTGAATCCTGTGCTATCCCAACGTAAAAACATTCAATTACTCATCATTTAAGGTAGATTTTTTTTTTGTCCAAGCAAAGTAGTATGAAATGAAATTATTTTGAAATGAAAGCTTGATTTATTTTGACCTGATAACTTAATCTAATCGCAGCTTCATTAAACCATTTTTTTTTTGATAGTCATTCCATATTTTTAACTGTAAAAAAAAGAAACGCAATCCTCAATGGATCATTCTGTCTGATTTTCTATCCATAATGAAAATTGGAATCAGAATGTATGATTATTTTCTTTTTTTTTTCTTTTTGAGAAAGTATGTGGCATGTGCTATGCAGATCATAATAACAGAGGATTGTTATCACTAAGAGAGATCATTATCATTGTACTGTATTTTTTTACATTCCCATATTTTTGTAACCTTTTTTTGTAAAAGAAATGATATGAATAAGGAAACCATCCAGTATAACAAATCATTTATCTAGAATCGTTCTGTTGCGCCAAAAATGTCATTATTTGGATGTGATGTATTTGAATGAGCCACCACTTGTGTGGTATCCTGTAAGTTGGATTTTTTTATTGAATTTTTTTTATTCATCAGTATTTTTTTCTATTTATACCGAAAAGTTTTTCACCTTTTTATCAGATTTCCTTTTCCATTTTTTAAATATTATTTGTTACCAGCTCTCTATTCTTGTTTTTTGAGTTTCATGAATAAACTTGTTTAATATTCAGTTTCAGATTGTTTCGTCAAAATATCCAACCTTCAAAAGTAGACGTTACATTCTATTTCAAGAACCAATCGTTCGTGGTGGATTTGTGGTGAATAGTATTTTATTATGAAATGACGAACACTCGAGAACATGAATTCTTTTATGAAATTGGTGAAATAAATGATCAGAAATTTCTACTTTAATGATACAATTTTAGCTTAATGAATATTCGATATATCTTTTAATGTTCAATGATGGTGTCGTTACAAACATGTTGAATTTTGATGATCAGTGCCGTACTTCCAATGAAATAAACCGAAGAGCTGCTCATATGATCTTCAAAATTCTTGAAAAGTATCCTGTAAAAGGTTTGACTCTTATTTCATACGCAGTTTATTTGTAATACATTTATTATTAAAAAAAAGTATATTCGCAGCGATATATATTAAAAAAGATTTCATTCGGTGTTATCTTTTTACGTGGAAATATTGAGATTTGGGAAGAGGGTATCTTGCATTTCAATCATTGGATGATTTGTAAACAATCGTATGAAAAATTGAATTAGCCAAAAAGGAAGTTATTATTGGAAATGGCGAAGTTTCTAAAGTTAAATTGGCGAGAAAGGAAGTTAAGTTGAGACCAATTATAAAGTCAAGAAAACAATTGAGAAATTATTCTCAGGCTTTGTTTTTCAGATATCTCACAAAGATTCATAGCACACATCAGACATAGTTGCAATCGAAAATACAAATCAGATGTCGAACAAAATGGTTTGAAACGAGAGGGCATGTCGTTTCTGTTTGTTGACATCAAAGAATTGGTTCCAAAAATTCCAACCTACGATGAGCTTTTGAGTGCTTATAAACCGCAGGTCTACTTGTTTTTCTGATTTCAACAAAAGTTCTATATAACTTTTACAAAAGCTTTTTTTGTTGAACCTTATTCATCATATGCTTGCAAAAGTTAAAGAAATTATAAGAATAGCGTTTGCACAGTTTCTCCAGAAAATGAAAATTTGTTTTGAACAACCAGTAGGATCAGTTAACAGCATACAGTTGAAGCGCAGTATGTCTGAAAACTACTCACTCTTTATGACCATATTGGAATGGTAAATCTTACTTTATCTACAACATACCTTTCTACGGTGGTGTTTCAACAAATCAAAATTTGAACAAACTCTTAAGCGGGCAAAAATTTACATTTAAGCAGAAATACATCATTTTAGCTACTTATAGTGAGAAAGGTAGATGAATTTCATCTTGATAGTCAAAATTATTATGATATTTTAACAAAAAAAGAATTCATTGAACTTAATTTCTGTTGTATAAAATGAAGTAATAATTTTAGCTGAAACTACTGGATTCAGATCTACGACCACATCCAGAAATGACAGAATACAGATCTCTGTTGGAACCGGATGAGGAAGTAATGAAGAATCTTTCATCGATGGATAAGGTATCTGATATGTTACAGGAAATACACGATCGTGAGGAAAGAGAACATCAAGCAGAAATAATGAATAATTCTATGGTTAATGATAATACGTGGATATTTGTAAGAAGCGATCTGAATGGAACTGGACTTTTGAAGTGAAATCTGAGAATAATAATCGCATCGTTTCTATTTGATTTGGATAACTCTTATTGTTACAAACACATATTTCTGCTTGTGAAAAATCAAACACACTTGATCTGTATAATTGATCTTTCCTTTCTTTTTCTTAGTTTATCATCATCAAAGGATTGATCATTATTTCATTTACCAACTGGATTCTGTTGTTGTTTCTCCTTGCTAACATTTCCCAAAATATGCATTTATTTCAGTACTTATTTTTTGTATGAAGTGTTAAAATCTGATAGTGGCTATGAAAGTTTAGGCAAAGAAAAAAGAATGGGTGTAAAATTTTCTAAATATATTTTATTATGAGATTATTTTGTCGTTTGATTTTATTGGAAAAAATTATTTTTAATGTAAAGATCATCATTTTCAGAGATGAATATTTAACATAAATTAAGAAGAATCAATCTTCTCATCAATGAGCTTAATAATTGTTTTAATAAGGATTGCATTCTGTTGATTGTATAAATCAATTGGTAACAAGATTCAATTTGTATAAGAATAAAATGTATCGCTGACAGGTGCAGAATATTTCACGGTTTTTTTTTTCTTATAATTGTTTCTTTCATATTTGTGAGATGCGTTTAATTATTGCTACTTTTATCCCAAATTTTACTTGATAATTGTGGATTTATCTGAGTGCAAAGAAATCGAAGCTTAATTGCTAAGGTAATTAAATTTAATATTTGGATGATTGGCAGAATTCTATGTCTGCCATTTGGATGTGTATGATATTACTATTATGTTCTGTGACATTAAATGATTAAGCAATCATATAAATTATCAAAAATAGAATCGTTTCTTTTTTTTGAACTGCTGATGACATGATCTGATATAATAACCAATATGTGTGATCCGCTGTTTTTCTCTCTTGTATTGCATTTGAGTCCAAACTCGTTTGTTAAAGCACGTTGTGCGGTTCACTGTACTATTTATTCTTTTTTTTGCGATGCTTTCAGTAACTCTGTCAGTTACATGAATCATCATAATATGAATTATTTTTGTTTGTTTTTTGACATTAAATCGTTTCTTTTGTTTTTCAATCATATTCGTTAAAACTTTTTTATTTGCATCCTGAAATAACGAAAAATACAACTTGGAATTTTACCACGTTTTAACGGTACAAGAAAAAAAAATGATAAATCTTCTATTGTAAGTGAAGTATCAGAGCTATGATTATAATCTTAAAGCATTCATACGCATCGATATTCCGGTCGAAGTATTCCATGAAAAGAACACTCGTAGCAGTAGAGTTATCAGTCATATCGCTTATTGTAAAAATATCATCAGTTATTAAAGCACCCGAAAATGCCAAATGAAGCACAGATTTGGAAGCGATGATCATTTAATAAATTTTTTTTTTTTGAAGTAACGGAATAATGTATGATAAGGAATTTTTAAAAAAAATTAAATTTAGGTACATAAAAAGTGTGCACAAAATTTTATTTCCTAACGAGTATCCTTCCAAATCTAACATACAGTAATATTTGCCAAAAAACTAATCTAAAGATAAATAAATTATTGTGTCACAAAATATGTACACGATAATAATACTATATCCAACAAATAAATGATACGATGATATCACAGGTGAAGATCTTCCTAGGAATAATTGGAATTTTTTTTTCCTGGGGAGAGAATTCGTTCAAATTGTTACAATTTTGTTGGTAAAAAAACCTGGAAGAGGAAAATATATATTCAATTCAGCAAGATTTATGGGACTACTGTAGCTATTAGTCGCAAGTCTTACAAGTGGGTTGTTAGGCGAGATGCTAGCATTCAGTCATCGTATGCTAATCATGTTCTGTTCAATCTCATAACATTCTGCAATTCTAACACTCTTACAAATGGATGCTTTACGAAATTTTGATTGTGAAAAATTTCCATAATTAATACCTTAAATATTTCTTCGTATGCAATTACTGTATGTATGATTGTAGCCTTACCAATCATTTTATTGTCAGATGGATAAAATAAGTGAAATTAACCACCACTATTGCCAATACTTCTGAATGTTTGCTTTACAGCACCTTGAATAAGCTTACTAGCGAATTCTTCATCCAGTCGAAAATATGTTTGTACTTTCAGATAGCGATCGTGTAATGATAACCTAATAATATATAAATTTACTTGTTAATGATCGAAATTAGGAGATATGATTGTCTTTTAATTATGAATTTTAATTTGCAATATTTATATGACCAAGTATGATCCATATGGCTTTTGAATTTATTCAATATGAAATATCCCTGTAACATAAATAAACATGGGGGAAAATAATTGGATTGTCTATTAAATAATCACAAAAAACAAACTTTGGATTTTTCATGACCACTCCTTTCATGGTTGGTATTATGATACCCATTTGTAGGATATCAGTAAGTAATTGTTCCAGGAATTCAGCACCAAAAAGGCCGAGATCACCAAATGTTGCTTGGTCGACATCTCGGATGCGAGATTCAAGTAATTTGAAGTCTAAACTTTCAATTGAAATATTTCCAATGATTGTTGTTTGATTTAACCATAAATTAATGTTGGATGTCATCTTTGTATCAGCTCGTATAATCTGAAGTTAGATAATTGGATATTAGTTAGATAGTTGAACTTTTTTTCAGTCCTTGTATTTTTGGAATCTAATAAAATTCACTTATAAAATTTTGCATTTAAATACGAAAATATTATACGAAAATAACATCTAAATTTCACTTTTCTAACTCAATTACTAGCTGAACAAGAAAAATTAGCAACACATTTTTTTTTAACCATTAAGGCTATCCAGCTATCATCTGTGATTTATTCCAACGAAACTTAAAATGTTAACAGTGAAATTCATCCTGCTTAATTTATGTACTGATTACTGATTTGTTTCATTCTTATGCATTATAGTACAAACAAGAAGCATACCAATGTTTTGAATTGCGTCGAATTTTTTGGTCTAACATACATGTTCATACTGCCATAAAGTCGAAATCGTGCTCGCTTTTCCACAAAAACGAGTAACGGTGACTAGAAAAAAATTTATTATTTTTTGAAAAAAATCCATTAATTAGCAAAACTTTAATACTTATTTTATCAAAGCCAATATTATTCATAGATTATTGAAATAGAAGATTTTCACAGTCTTCTGTTGCAATAATTCTTTTTTCATTGAAGAAAATGATAAGTTAGATCACTGATTTTTTTTTCTTTTACAATTAACGTGAAAATAAAAAACAACAAACAATCAAAAATCTTATTTTTTATAACTAATCTTCCAGTTAAAAAATGAATCTCAACTTAGCGATCGGGAAATTGCTTTTATAAATTAACCTTTCTAGTTGAAAAATGAATCTCAACTTCACGATCCGGAAATTGATTGGATAATTCACCAAGATATTCACCAATGCAATAACCAATTTCACAGGTTGTTAGCAAAAGAGTTTTAAGTTGTGAGCTTGATTCAGGACCAACAATAAAATCCATATATTTTTGTTTATATGCATGAAACAGTAATGAATTGACAACGTAATCTGTTGCGATAAATTCTGCCATGTGAACACCTGAAAAAGGAAACTTTCCTGTCAAATTTCGATTTTATCCATTGGGGAGTAAATTTCTTCCATTCATAAACATTCTCTTTGTCACTTCTTTTTTTAGTGTAAAATTTGATGAAGTGCATGTGAGCTACGTGAATTGCGCTTTTTTTTTGAATTTATTTACTCTTGATATATGATGCTGTTAAATGAGCATGCGAAATTAGTTGAAAGGATGGTGCAAAAGAATAAATTGATGAAAATAGAAATGATATTATAATAAGTTTGGTAAAAAGTTTGAATAGGTTTAAGTTAGAAATGATACAGGACTGCAGAACTGTAGATAAATGTAATTAATCTTGATGGTAAACTATTGGTCAAGCTATTTGTAATGTAAAGTATAATAGACATCGATTTCATCTTGATGATTTTACAACATTATGTACAATTTAAAATTAATTATTTCAAATTAATTTAAACATAGACGAAATATTGAATTGACTTGATATTTAGCGCAAATATCTTTTTTATTAGAGATATAATTGCATGTCAAATGTCATCAAGTGTTGACTCGTATACAAAATTCACAAAGCGCATGAATTTTAGCCATATAATTAATTTAATCTATCAATTAATTAAACTGTTCGTAAATTTTTGAAATTTATTGCTAAACAATTGCTTAACTTACCGCTTGGTGGAGAAATGTAAATATTGGGAGGATGGAAAGGAGTCCCTCCATAACCATTCCTGAAAAAAAAAAGCAAAATATTTCGTTATTTTCCAAATAA